CTTGACGTAAGAGTCAAGGAACTGCTTCTGGGCCGGTGTCGCTGAGCTGACTGCTCGCTGTCTTTCGTTGCTCCCCAGGGACAACTCCTGTCCTCCTACTAGCAGAGACTGGCATTTCATCCTGTTAGCATCGCCCTTCTCTTCTTCCCCTCCCTCACTTCCCTAAATACAAGTTGAGGAGGGGAGAAAATACTCCTTTTTTCTTTTCTTTTCTTAATATTTATGAACCTGGAGGACCCTAGGAGGCTAACACATTCATGGGAAATTTCCATGGGGAGATTTCCCTAATTCAAGATACTCCTAAAAAGTAAAGTGGTTTCCACTCACCCTGAAGTAAATCCGAACTCATTCCGTATCTTGAGAAGTCTTCTAAGTTGAAGATTACCCAGGGCAGATTAAGGACCATCCCAAGGTATTCCTACATTTCCATGTCTGAGCAAAACCCAAAACAGTCTGCAGGTCTGTGTTAGTGTCCTTTGCTTTAGAGTTGGGGATATCTTTCTTCAGTGAGAAGAATCTACTTTACATAAAATAGTTCCGTATGGTTTTCTGAGTTCTGAAGAGAAAACGTAGAGGCAGCCACCCTCTAGTTGCCTCTTTTCATCCTCTGGCCCAGATCTGACTTTCAGAAAGATCTTTTTGGGGTGGAGGGTTGATTTATTTTCTGTTATTAGGATAAAAAGCCCCAGGCATGGAGTGGGGAGGAGATCGTATGGCCAGAGTGCCAGTCGGTGTCACTAGAGTGTTCCTCAGGCCCAGAATGACTTGAGGACAGATGTGCTCCTGGACTGCTGAGGTGTCAGAGAACTAGTTTTATCCTAGCAAGAAGAGGATGTGAACATCTTACCAGAGTGCGAAGAGAACAGGGTTTACCTTTCTAGACGCTGCCATCTCTGAAATCTTTGGTATTATGCAGTTCTTAACTATTCAGTGGCTGTTAAAAAGTTTGTGGTGAGTTTATCCTAAGGAAAGGCTGAGTGGTCACGTTTTTCTATTGTGATTTTTGTAAAAGATCCTGGTTGAACTTCTGGGGGTGATGCATGTGTTCCTTATCTTGACTGTGGTGATGGATTTACAGGTGTGTACACATGTCACACGTGTACATTTTATATATGTACAGTTTATTGTATATCAGTTACACTTCAGCATAGTTGCTATACTCATTTTACGAGGCCAACATAACTTTGACATGAAAACCTTGTAAAGACTGTACAAGAAAAGAAAATTACAGCTCCATCTCTTTCATTTACATAGATGTTAAAATCCTAAACAAAATATTAACATGCTGAATCCAGCAATATACAAAAAGGATACTATATTATAGCCAAAGTGGGTTTATACGAGGAATTCAAAGTTGGCTTAAAATTAGAAAATCAGATTTTGCCATGTTAACAGATAAAGAAAAACTGAATGTTTTTGCCCATAGAAAAAATTCATCATCCATTTATGATTTAAAAATAAAAGTCTTAGGGGCCAGCTCCATGGCCTAGTGGTTAAGTTTGGCATGCTCTACTTTGGCAGCCTGGATTCGGTTCCCAGGTGCAGACCTACACCCACTCATCAGCGGCCCTGCTGTGATGTTGAGCCACATACACAATAGAGGAAGATTGGCACAGATGTTAGCTCAGGGTGAATCTTCCTCAGCAAAAAAAAAAAAAGTCTTGGGGGCTGGCCCCGTGGCCGAGTGGTTAAGTTCGCACGCTCCGCTGCAGGTGGCCCAGTGTTTCGTTGGTTCGAATCCTGGGCGCGGACATGGCACTGCTCATCAAACCACGCTGAGGTGGCGTCCCACATGCCACAACTAGAAGGACCCACAACAAAGAATACACAACTATGTACCGGGGGGCTTTGGGGAGAAAAAGGAAAAAAATAAAATCTTTAAAAAAAAAAAAATGTCTTGGAAAAACAGAGCTAGAAGGGAGCTTTCTTAAATTGATAAAGGGTATATACAGGAAACCTCACCAGACATTAAAAAATAGTAATAATGAAAGTCCCATTTGCTAATAAACTTGCAGCTGGAACCATAAGTGACACCGCAGAAAGGTGGAAAGAGCACTAGCTGGGCATGGAGGCCTGGGCCCACAGCTCGGGCCACTGGTTGCTGGGACCTGTATCAGGCCACTTCTGGACCCTCATGTCCTCAATAACGGACTGGATGAGGGATTTTTAAGACACCACCACTCCTCTCCCCACGCCCCATACACATTCAGCACACATGCACAGCTCAATTCTATAATTCTAAAAATAACACACGTCGGAGAATAACTGGACTGAGAACGGAAGAAGCTGCTGTTTCGGATGGAGTTGTCCAGTTGGCCACACACAGTCAGGGAAGATGGCAAATGGCTTGGCCATTTATGATTTTCGTTAGTATTGCCTCTTTTTATTAATCCTTCATCGTGTGTACATTTGTACCCAAAATGTACAACTTCCAATTTTCAAGAATTGATTTGTGAAAAGAAAGAACTGGTGTTGATGCAAATCAACATTTCAGCTCTTTTTTTCTTTTGAGAAAATCCTGTAATCTGCTTCTTGAAGCTCCATTTCGTGAGACTGGAGAAGGATGTAAAGGAGCAGCTGGGCTCCAGCCCTCCTTCCCTGTGGGAGGGCTCCGCCCTGGCCTTTGAAGGCAGAGGTGCTGGCCACAGGGAGGCGAGGCATCGTAAGGCACCCGGCCCCCGCCTCACAGTGTCTAAGGGTCATATCACCAAGGTGTATTCATGCCCTAAAGATGTTAGCAGAATGATGGGGGTGGGGGTTCTTTGTTATGTTTGAGAGAAATTTGGTGAAACAGTGTTAAATTCTCTTTACTACAGTTTTCACAGCCCTTTAAATATGCTTGTTATTTTTCTAAAAAGGGAGATTTAATATTTAATCCGTCAAGGATCTTTATGTTTCTTGGCCATACTCTTGGAATAGCTGGGTTCATGCCCCACCTCAAAGAGGACTGCACTCAAATAGGATTCCAGAAAGCCCTACAAAACTGAACTGACTTAAACTGATAAGGAACTAGTTTGCCTCGTGCAACAAGAAGTCTGGGGATAGACTGTCCAGGTGGGTACAGTACCTAATGATGTCCAGGAAGCAGGCTTCTTCTATATTCTTTCTCTGGTATCGGTAGCACATAGGACTTTTACCTCACAGTCCCAGAATGGCTGCTGTACCACCAGGCATCATATCTACATTCCAGGCAGAAAGAATGGGGAAGAGCAAAATGCACTGAGGCTTTGCCTTCTTATCTGATGACCCCAGTGAGGCTTTGTCTTTCTCCAATGACCTTGCCAGAGAGTTCTGATCACATCATTGCCTAGAATGGCCCAGAGGAAAAGATAAGGGTTTCAGCTTTCTGGCTGTTATATTTAAGGACATCAAAGGGAAAGAGGGTGTAAGTGGCTTTATCTTTAATCTTAATAAAAGAGCCTCCCTGACCCCCAAGTCTCCTATAATTCCTGGCTCTTGGTCCTGCAGGTGCTACGAATGATGGTCGGAGTGAATATCTCAGATGAGCAGCTGGGCAGCATTGCAGACAGGACCATCCAGGAGGCTGATCAGGATGGGGACAGCGCCATATCTTTCACAGAATTTGTTAAGGTCAGTCAGTCACCTTTTGGCCTGAAAAAGTTAAATTCTACTGCACAAGAGGGAGGGAGAAAAACATTATTCAAAGAAGAGCTTGGGACAGTATCACCTGTTGTGACTTTCATAACTGTAACTGGGTTTCTTTTTCCAGGTTTTGGAGAAGGTGGATGTAGAACAGAAAATGAGCATCCGATTTCTTCACTAAAGGACTGAGACCAAACTGTTCTTGCTCTCTAGTATTTAAGAACTGGAACTCGAGAGTCCTCCTGTCCACCAGCCCCACCTCCACCCATCATTCCCTTCTCCCCAAGTACTACTGCTGTTGCATGACGGCCCCAGTTTGCTCCGTCCACACAGACCTGCCTTTGCTGTATAAACAGGGCATTATAGAAGGGTACATTCTGTCTGTTTCTGTTGCGTATCATTTGCTGGTTATCTCCATTTCTCAGTATCATCTCCCCCTGGTCTGCTGCTGAATGCCACACGTCCATCCAAGCTGAGAAGGGGAGAGAGGGAATCATGCCAAGAACCAGCCAGCAGAGCTCTCTCACAGGGTGTGGACTAGCCATGCTGCCTTCCCTCCAGCGGGGCTTCGGCATGCTCCTTCGTCCTTTTTTATACGTCCTTTGCCTCCTACTTCTCTTTCACCCAACATACCATTCACTTAGTCTTTCAGTCTCCCTGCTTTTTATTAAGCTTCAGTCCCCTCTGTTCTACTTGGCAACCCAAGCTATGCCTGTTAAATGTACTTCTGACTTGGCAGGATAGTTCGGTGGTCTGGCAATTTTTATCAACCTTTACTCTTAAATGGGTGTCTGGGATGTTGCCTCTCCAGGAGCTTTTCAGTAAGCAACACTTCTCTCAGAAGAATGTGACCATCTCTTGGTCCCTGGCACTCTGCTGTGTCATCAAAGGGCTGTTGGTTGGAGAGGCTCTTCTTGAACGGTGGTGGCCTTGGTGAGAGGTGCGGAGCCAAGTCTTCAAGGTGGCTTGCCCAGGTCGCTCTACCTCTGGCCTCTGATTCTCAACATACATACCCACGTGGCTACTCTTGTTAGGACCGTGTTGACTCTTCAGCAAATAGCCATGTGCCTGCAGGTTTGCCTAGTTTGGGGACACCATCACCACCAGAATGGCTGCTCTGACAATATGCTTGGGGACTTTCTCATGGCTTTTTGAACAAGGAGGCTGGGCACCTAAAAGCCTCGTGTATTCCCACCTCTGCAGCATGGTTTATGCCTCAGTGTTACTGCCCTGGACTAGTTTTCACTTCACATTTCCACGTAGAAAGATTAGTGTTATGGAAGTGCCTAACTTAGCCCAGCCCAAGAGATTTAAAGATTGTCCTCAGTGTCTTGAAGTTTTGCACAAAATTCTCTGTGAATTTTGCACTTGGCAGATGTTCATGGTGGAAGCCATAGTCAGCTCCTAATACAGGTCCAAAGCATTGAATGTATTGTACCATCAGCTGCCTGGTCACACTGACTTCCTAGCTCCTCTCGTGGACCACTGCTAACCCCTTAGAAACAAGGGGTCTGGCACTGGTTGTACAACCTGAGGTGGCATTACAGGCCTTTGCATGAGCCAGAGCAACTTCTCTGCCCAAGTCAGCTCACTGTAGACCTCGTTGAATCAGGCTGCTGTCATCCTCATGTCTGTCTTTATGAGTCTGTCCATCCATATATCTGCCCTGGCTGATTTTCTGGGACTTATTGCTCGCTTACTTGTTTCCTTGCTTTGGAAGGCTATCTGAGATGTATACACATTACTTTAGGAAGGGAATTGCTGAAAAAAAAAAACTGCAAAGGGATTGGGAAGAGTGGGGCCCAGAGGAGTGGCCCGGCTGGATGACTCAAGTATAAATGACCGAGGAATTCTTGATGAAGTATCAGTCTGACTTTGTGATCAAGTGATGTAATATAGGAATTGTATAAAAGGGAAGACTTACCTGACACTGATCTGTTAGAGAGGTACTTCAGAGGCTCCTTGACTTGCATATTTAAAATTCCTAAGATTATGGCTTTTTCCTCCTTTTGGCTGTATAGTAAACTGTTTCAATCCACAGTTGTGCCTTATTGTTCCATTAAAATTGTATTCTTTGATCCATCAATAAATACTTGCGGTTAAAATAAAATAACTTGGTTGATTTTGTCCACGTGTTTTACAAGAATTTTATATAACTCAGTCCCCGTCTTCACGTTTGAAATCACAAACAGTGTCTCCCTTACTTAGGTTTATGTCTCTGCTGTCAAATGCAGGTCTGCTTGGCTGCTGCCTGGACATACGAGGTGGGGGCATTCATTTAGGGGCCAGCACTGCATGCCTCTGGACACGGCATTGTCAGCCTCGGCCACTTCCCTCACTCCAGGTAGGATTCCATTTCTGTTCTTGACTCCCTGGTGCCTTAAATGTAGAAAAGGCCTAAAAACGGGGGATCTGTCTATTGCTTATCATTAAGTTGTCCACCCCCTCAAATATGCAGCCTCAATGACATTCTGTACCCAGGTATTCTTACATGGCTTTTCACATCTTCAGACTTGAGTGACTGCTTAGTCTCTGCAGGGTATGAGCATCTCTTCTTATTTTCAGGTTTAGTGGCATGCCACAGGACTCAAAGCAGTAATAGCTGGAATCAGTCATGTAAATTCTAACACGATATCCTCTTCTCTTCCCATCCCTCTGCCTCCAAAATCCATTCAAAATGACTTGCATGGTATTTCAGCTTTGCTTTGCTTTGAGTCTAATTTTAGGATTTGGAGAAAGTGAAAAATAGATGGAATGACCAAGCAGTCAGTTTTGGAGGAACCTTAATGTTACTGACCTTGGCGACAGGTATACCAGTCTGTGGCTGAGATAAAACATAATTGATACGTAAAAAAAATTATAAAGACATTACAACATTAAATACAGTTTGAGGAGAATCCCCTTAACCAAATTTATTTCTTACTCCCTTCTGATCTATGCATTACATATTTGAACATAAATGGAACATAACATGAGATTATATCAGCTTTAAAAAATTAACATTGTAATATTTTCCCATGTTATCTGTTTCTTCCTAGTTTATATTAATGTTTACATAACATTTTACCAACTTGATGTAATATTTATTAACCATTACCTTGTTTGCTTATTGTTTCCAATTTTCTCTGTTATAAAATAATGATACAATGAATCCCTTTCTACATATAATTCTTTTTTTCTTTGAAAAAATTGTATGGAAGTGGGATTACTAGGTCAAAGTTTGGGCATATACTTAACAGCTTTTGATAGGTTTCAAAAGAAATGAATGCCACAGTGCCCCAGGCAATCAAATTACTCTCCTTTATCTTCAGTGTTCTTTTTAGAATGTTCTTTATGGTCACCTGTTTTTTCAAATTGACTCTAGAATCATGTTGTCAAGTTTTGTACTTAAAATACTATTAGAATAGGTTGTGTTGACTGAGATTTAGAGCAAGTATTTACTGCAGAGATGCCTCAGAGAGGACTATCTTTGCAAACTGGATTTCTTATGCTACAAACCAAGTATTTATCCTGTTCCCCAAACGCTGTGAGCAGAATTGCTTGGAAGGAAGCGATCATCATTAATGGACTGCAATTCCCTAAATTCACATTACTTTGGCTGAACTTTGAGTCGACAAGCAATTCAAACTAAAGATGGTTGGTATTTGCCAATACAGACCTGTTTAACCTCTAGTTTAATAGAAACTCCAATTGGGAGATTTTCTTTTTCTTTTCCTCTATACCAAGCAGTGATGGGAGATTTACCTGGTGAGTTTGTAAAGTACTGCAGGCTGTTTCTTCACAGCTCTGGAAGGGAGGAGACAGCAATGAAGAGTCTCATGTCTTTCAAGATGGAGTAAGTAACTGGCTTCACATCTTTACCTGAGGTATAAGTTGATCAAGGACTTGGTCTTGAGATGCCAAGACTCAATCTTCTTCTCTATATTCTTCAGTCTTCTAAGCAGCAGATTCGGATCTCATCAAAACTAGCAAGACTTTATTGGGAGACATGGTCTTGACACTTACCCCCACCCTTTGGAGTCTATTTGAGAACTGAATGAGGTAGGTGAATTGTTATATACAGTACCTGAATAATGTGGCTGGAGAAGTAAGAATTGATGAGAGGTCTTTAGGCTGCTACAATATATCAAGCACCATTAACCAGAGTTTCATTGTTTTATTCACAAGAAAATGTTTTAGTCCCTAAAACACACATTTCTTTAGAAACAATTTTGACAAATTCCACTAAATTTGGTGATTTGGTCATCCAGCCCATAACAAAATGGAAGTAGTTATATTTATAGGGATGCTGCTAGAAATGGGTATGTTGACAACCAAGAAGGGCAGCTGACGAGGAGACCATATGAAAAACCAAATGATTCAGTAGACGTTCAAGTGTAGACCAAATAATCCTTAGCAGTTCATTAATCCTGGAGGCATTGCACCATGAGTTTATAGAAAAGACCTCAAGTCATCAATAAAAGGTCTAAAATGTGCTGGTGCTTATAGGTTTAAGCTTCAGTAAAATGGAAATTTACTTAAGTGAAACATCCCTGATAATACAAAAAAAAAATCAAATGTTACTGCACGTAATTCAGGCTGTACCCGTGTAACTCAATACTCTGTGTCTGGTTGACCCCAGTGATTCCTGTCTGACTTTATACAGATGTTCATCTTTTTCTTTATCACTTTGGAAAATGGTGACATGGCTTGGAGGCTTATATCTGCAAACAACCTTACGGATTGTGGAGAGAAAAAGCATTATTCTCCATGATGCTGAATTTCTTGAGGCTAGGAGTTGCCAACAGCAGAATAGCAAATTTCTAGCTGTTATTAAAATATCCTCTGCAATGTCAGTTTGGAGAAAGCTGCCATGGAGATTTTCATTATTTTATTAACCATTTTCTCAGAACTGACTCAATCTCTGAATAAAAACTTTCAATTTTAGCAGAATGCATGTGCTAAATTTTAAATGTATTTTGTGCTGCCTGCTGCCTCTTTGTGGCCGATGTGGAGCCAGAATCACAAACCTGGGAATAGCATACAAGCTTGCTTGTAAAAGATGACTTTGCATTCTGTGAACTCCTCACCTCGCTCGCCCATGCCCATGAGATCAGGGTCAATTCTGGTAGCTGTGTAATCATGGAGATATCAGATATTGGGAGATGGCTAGAGAACAGAAAGAGGCAGATAGTAGCAAAGTTTACAAAAGGGGGAAAGGCAGATTTCAGAAATGATCCACTCATCTGTTTGACATTATTCCCTAGCAGAATTTATTTATTTATTATTTTATTCTATTATTTTGTAAATTTATTTTTGGTGAGGAAGATTGGCCCTGAGCTAACAGCATGCCTTGATGAGCAATGTGTAGGTCCACACCCAGGATCCAAACTGGCAAACTGTGGGTTGCTGAAGCAGAGCGCACAAACTTAACCACTGTGCCACGGGGCCATCCCCTTATTTATTTAGATTTTTTTGCTGAGGAAGATTTGCCCTGTGCTAACATCTGTGCCAGTCTTCCTCTATTTTGTATGTGAGTCACTGCCACAGCATGGCTGATGAGTGGTGTAGATCCAAACCCGCAAACCTGGGCTGCCAAAGTGGAGTGCACTGAACTTAACCACCAGGCCACGGGGCCAGCCCCTCCAGCAGAATTTTAGAATGTGTCATTTCATGGTTTGTGAAGACATGGGAAAGAATTTGATGACCACCAGGATGTTGATGTGTTTAGCAAAGAATTAAATATGCCAAATTATGCTCCTTTCACTTATTTCAAACTCTTATTAAATTTGAATGTCAGATCAGTGAGATAGGCACAATGTTGTTGATTTCAGCAAAGCATGTGGCTGGGTCTCTCATAGTATTCACATGGTTAAGACGGAGAAAATCGGGTTGGATTACAGTTGATGTATTTGAAGATGGTAGTTGAATAACCGTATACCAAGAATCTAAAAGATCAGTGTCAACAGTCTTGAAAAAGAGGAACAAAATTAGAGGAATCACACATGCCAATTCCCAAATTTACTTACTACAAAGCTACAGTAATAAAGACACTGTGATACTGGCATAAGGATAGACTATAGAGCAATGGACTAGAATTGTGAGTCCAGAAATAAACCCTCACATTTGTGGTCAACTGATCTTCAACAAGGATGCCAAAACAATCCAATGGGGGAAACAGTAGTCTTTTGGTACAACTGGGGCAATTGTATAACTTCATGCAAAAGAATGAAGTTGGACCCCTACCTCACACTAAAACCAAAAAATAACTCAAAGTATCAAAGATCTAAATGTAAGAGCTAAAACTATAAAACTTAGAGAAGAAGATACAGGCATAAATCTTCAAGACCTTGGATTAGGCAAGTTTTCTTAGATATGACACCAAAAGCACAAACAACAAAATAAAAAATAGATAAACTGGACCTCATCAAAATTTAAAACTTTTGTAGTTCAGAGGACACCATCAAGAAAGTGAAAAGACAACCTACAGAATGGGAGAAAATATTTGCAAATCATACATCTCATAAGGGACTTGTACCTACAATATATAAATTACGACTCAATAATAAAAAGACAATCCAATTATGGAACCCTTGTGCATTGTTGGTAGGAATGGAAGAAAGTGCAGTGGCTGTGGAAAACAGTATGGCAGTTCCCCAAAAAATTAAAAATAGAATTATTATATGATCCAGAAATTCCACTTCGGGGTATGTACCCAAAAGAATTGAAAGCAGGATCTTGAAGAGATGTTTGTACACCATGTTCATAGCAGCAGCAATCAAAAGAGCCAAGGGTGGAAACAATCTTAATGTGCATCAACACATGAATGAATAAACAAAATGTGGTATATACATGCAATGAAATATCATTCAGCCTTAAAACGGAAGGCAGTTCTGACATGTGCTACAACATAGATGAAGCTTGAGGACATTATGCTAAGTGAAATAAGCCAGTCACAAAAAGACAAGTGCTGTATGATTCCAGGGTCTGGAGGGATGGGGGATGGGGGAGTGACAGCTAGAGGTGTGGGGTTTCTTTTTGGAGTAATGAAAAGATTCTAAAATTAATTGTGTTGACTGGTGCACAAGTTTGTGAATATACTAAAAGCCACTGACTGGTACATTTCAAATGGGTGAATTGTATGGCATGTGAGATATCTCAATACAGCTGTTTAAAATAAAAGGTCAGTGTCGGGCTGAAGAAAATCTCCCATGCCATGCTATGGGCTTTTCTCTTAGTAGTCCAGTCATGTCAAGATCCAAAGACAAAGGCATGAAAGTGGTGTTCATTAATATTTTAAAATAACATAAAGCCGTAAAAGTAGTTAATATAGTTCCTCCATAGAAGAATAGAAATTAAATTATCCTAATAGTTTATGTTCAATCAATAACGGCTAACAGTTATATGGCATTTACTGTATGCAAGGCACTGTTCTGTGTGCTTGACAGATGTCAACACTAATCCTCACAGCAAACTTAGGAGGCAAGTACAGTTATTACCACCATTTTATAGGTGAGGGGATTAAGGCACAGGGAAGCTAAATGAGTTTTTCCAAGATAAAAGTCACACAGCTAGTTAGTGGTAGAGCATGGATTCAACTCCAGGAGGAACTCTGATTGCGGAGTCCGTGCTCTTAATTATTTCACTCTCCAACAATCTAGATTTTTAATAAGGATAAATGTAAATTCCTGTATTTAGGCTAAAAAGAGAGGTGAAACACAAGAGACCCCTGTGTATTTTAAGATATTAGAAGTTTGAAGACCATTACCTTTTAAGAACAAGATTGACAAAACAATGTATTCCCAAGAAGCAAAATGGTGAGGGGTTCAGAGCAATTTACTATCTCGGGCAGTTGTAGAAACTGAGGCTTTAACCTAGAGAAAAGCAAAAAAAAAAGTAGTTGTATTCAGATACTTAGTACCTATATCCAGATAGCTAAGGACCTGTTCTTGAAAGGCTCTATATTATTATACTAGAGGACAGAATTAGGTAGTTCAATGTCAATAAGAGCATGGAGTTTGGGAACAGATTGGGTGGGTTCACATTCTGGTTCTGCCGCTTAACCAGGCACATGAACTCAGGCAGTTCACATAACCCTTCTGTGTCCTTTTTCTCAACTGTAAAATGAGGATCACGATGATGATGATGGTAACACTACCAACCTCATAAGTTGTTGTGAGGATTATATGAGTGCCTGACACATGCTAAGTATTTTATACGATTTATTAATGATGGATGGAAGTGATAGGCTGACAGATTCCATCTTATTCTAAGGAAGAATTTTCTAATAATTATGTATAATTGTTCAAATGAGGAACCGGATATCCCCACAACTAATGCACTCCCTAGCCCTTGGTTGCCAGAATTGCTTAAGTAAAATCTTCAATGACCATTTTTGTCAGGGATCTTGCAGAATTGCTAAATTACAACAGAGGTTTACCTAGATGATCTAGAATGCCTTCCTGTTAATTCATAATATAATTACTAGGTTCTCCAAGTAGATGTAACAGTATTTTACAAAAATGTTTTGTATTTGTATTTGTTTTTAGGGACACACACAGGTATATCTGCGGAATTTTTAAACATGAAGAGGGAGTGGTTACTTAATTAAGAGGAAATAAATGAGAAGTAGTCTGTATATCCCAGCTGACACTATTTTATGGTTTTGTTTTTGGTTCTTTGCTTGTTGCCTGTGCCCCAGGAAGAAAAACACCTGTATTTGGCAGTGATTTTCAAAATATTTTACAACTGGTGCTGCACTGATCAGTCAGAATGTAGGGCTGGAGCAGAGTCCCGGAAGATCCTCTACTGTGCTGGGCAGTAAACCCTTCAGTTGCTGAGTAGAGGATAAGTCTGGGAGGGTCCTGAGTAAAAGAGTGAGGCAAGTGAGGGAAACTTAGGTTTGGGACAAGGGCCCCTCTCAAGCAAGTGTGGAAGTATTTTAATATTTTGGTAACCCAGCTAAATGTCAATCAACCTTGCCAATGTCCTGGATTGAAGAGACTATCCTTCCACCATTGAATTATCTTGGCATCTTGGCCCAAAATTGACCATAAATGTAAGGGTTTCTTTCTGGACTCTGAATTCTGTTCCATTGATTCTACATGCCTATCCTCATGATAATACTCACTGTCTTGGTGATAGTAGCTTTGTAGTCAGTTTTGAAATTGAGTATTGTAATTCCTCCAACTTTGTTCTTTTTCAAAATCGTCATAGCTACTCTAGGTCCTTTGTATTTCCTATACATTTTGGGATCAGCTTGTCAGTTTCTACCAAAAAAAAAGAGTGCTGGGATTTTGTTAAGGATTGCATTGAATCTAATCAATTTGAGAACTGTCATTAACAATATTAAGTCTAACAATCCATGAACATGTAAGTCTCTCCACTTATTTAGATCTTCCTTCATTTCTCTCAGCATGTTTTGTAGTTTTCAGTGTATAAATCTTGGACTTGGTTTATTAAAATTTTTCCTAAGTATTTTATTCTTTTTGATGCTATTGTGAATGCAGTTGTTTCCTTGATTTCATTTTTGTTATTAGTACAGAGAAATACAGTTGATTTTTGTATACTGATCTTGTATCCTGCAACCTAAACATATAAATCCTAATCGTTTTGGTTTTTTGTTTTTGCTCTGTGAATGTGTATTCCTTATGATTTTCTACAGAGGATCATGTCATCTGCAAATAAAGGCAGTTTTCTTTCTTCCAATCTGGATGCCTTTTCTTTGCCTTTCTGGACCCTCAATAGAGGTGGTGGGAGTCTGTGTCCTTGCCTTGTTCCTGACCTTAAAGAGAAAGTATGAAGTCTCACCATTAAGTAGGTTTTCCCGTTGATGCCCTTTATCATAAGCTTCTGTAAAAATAAGATTCCTTGGCCTCGTCCGAAAATCTAGGGAACTGGATCTCGGGGAGGTGCAGCCTTAGGAATCTGTACTTCTAGGAAGCGGCCCAGATGAGAACCTTGGTGGTGTCTGAGGACCTCCACCGCCTGCCCCGGAGCCGCTTGTCGCATCCTCGGAAGAGGAGCTCCCAGTTAACCTTCCCTGCTTCTCTTGGAATAATCGCTGCAGAAAGGCTCTCAAGAGTCCTCCAATTGGGTGAACTGTCAGTTATAAGAGTTTGACATTCGGCAGAAGGGCCCTCAAAGAAAAGTGACGAATCTGCTCTTGAGGATTGACCAGAGCCGTAAACAGCAGTCCGACGTCTGGGGCCCTTTAAGAATGGACATGGGTCAGACCCAGTCAGAGACAAACTGGAACTACTGAACTGTTTGCCTACGTGTCCTGTGAGGCCCAGGACTGGCAACTCCCGGGGCCGAGGATGAAATTACCAGTAGTACAGTTTAACCTAATGGCGGCCTAAAGTAGTCATGTGGCCTAACCAGACTACTTTCCACGGAGTGACCCTGCTTCTACGCGGAAATACTTTTACATTCCTAACAAACGAGTTACAAAACCATTTTCCCTATTACCTCAACCCTGGGATCCAATCCGGCAAAAAAAAATATCGAAAGAGTGGGCTAGCTCTATTGACTGACGTAATTTCCAACCAACCTACCACGGAAGAAGAGTGCGCCTGCGCAGGCCGTCATCCAATCAGTGCTCAGCAGCAGCGCCAGAGGCGGGGCTTGTGGAAACGGCCACCGCGGGGTTGGCGGACCCGGGAAGGAGCAAAGATGGCGGAGTGAGGCGAGGTGCGGCGCGGCAAGCCGGCCTTGGGCCGGGGACGTGCCGGTCCCCGGGAGGTCGAGTACTTCTGCTGGCCCGCACGAGGTAAGCCGAGAAGGCCAGCGACGGGGGGACGAGCGGCCCGACCTGGCTGGGGGACGGGAGCGCGCGGAGCCTGCCCGCAGCCGGCGCAGGCCTCGGCCGGGCGCGGGTTTCCTTCCGAGCTGCCCCGTGGCGGCCGCACCCGCCTTCCCGGTGTGACGCACCATCACTCGGTCCTCGACCCGCCACTGCCCCTCGTAGTGTCACGCCTTTAGCTGCCTTTGTGTTTTCGGCTGGTTCCCCGGTGGTTGCACCGACGCGGGTGTCTCTCAGCCGCTGCGTCTGCTGTCGGTTTATCTTTTAAAGAATACCTTTGTTTTGTTGATTTATTTAAACTCCTCGCCTCGCGGCTTTGTGCCCACTGTTTTGCCTGAGGCTCCGGTATCAGTCGAGGCCTGTTGCGGCGCTGAGCATTTTGTGTCCCTGGCCCATTGACCTTGAGATTCTGTGTGACAGGTTCCCCCCGGGATTTTAATTAGAGCGTATCATGCATGTTCTCTTGCTGTCATTTCTAGATCCATTCGTTCCCACTCCCACCTCTCGAACTTTTAAGATCTGAGTAAGCAGCTTTGTCCTTGCGTGACCTGATAATTGCCCACTGGCGCATTAATGTTGGCGGACTCGAGGTCTCCGCAGAATTCACCATTGTTGTTTTCCAGAACGAAGGGAGTCAATGTACAGTTTCTATTTATTTTTTGTAGACAGAATGAGAAAGAGTTTTGAGAAATAGTACTAGGACGTAATTTGTGTAATGTGGTGGGATTGCAAAGTATAATACTGTCAGGCATTTGTATTGGGTTTAGGAGGTATCTCATTTTGTAACTTGGATTGTTATAACCCCTCATTTGGTCTTTCAGGTAAATTCTGGGTAAGGTGCCTGTTTTTAGGTTTATAAGTTGGTGAGACCTTTCTAAAACTGGCACGTTAGTTGGGTCCAGTTTGAATGACAGGTCATTATACAAATGAACGTTTGTGATATGCTCTTTGCTGGCCCTGGATTTAGCAGAGCTGAAAATATCAGATAAAGAAGCACTTGTAAATAAGACCTATCTGTTGCTTTTGTCAGGAGTATTTCTCATTTCATCTAGGAGTAGAGAGAAGATAAGGGGCAGAGGAAAGGAATGGAACATTCTTCCTTCGTACCCACGGGGGAATGGTCATCTATACTAAAGCAAAGGTCTTTTGTGGGGAGCAGGGGGGCCACAGCATGATCAGACTCTCAAAGGAGACAGTGTTCCATATAAACTTGAGAACCACTGCTCCAAGAATTTTGACAGCTTTATAAAATTAATGCACTGCAGGTAGACAGTCATTTCCTTCTGATTGTTCCTTCTGAATAGTTTTTGATAGTGATGTTTTTTAGAATAGCTTGGTTCATTTGAATAATTTTGCACACGAATGCATATAGCACAAGTGAGGGCTGTATCCTTCCTGTAACATTCTTTTTATTTTCCCTTATCACAGGAAGAACATTTTCCTTGACTTCCAGGTGCTTTTGTATTCATCTCTAAAAGAAAACAGAATTCTGAGCTCAGGACTTGGCAAGTGAGTAATAGTGGCTGATGGTTCCAAATACTGTTTAAGCAGCTCAAAAACAAGTAGATAGAAATCGAACTATAAACCATTAGCTTCAGTAAAAGATGAACATCAAAAGTGACTATAAATTATTGATATTTAAGCTAAATCTGTTATTTTCAACAAAAGCAATGTATTACATATAAAGAAAAAGAAAAGAAAAACTTGATCATTTGCCCAAACCAATAACTTTTATTGGATAAAGAAAAAAAATACAGATTTAATTAGATTGAAGGAGATCAACTGATAAAATATAAATGTTGCTAGGCAAATTTTATTTTTTTATTTATTTATTTATTTAAAGATTGGCACCTGAGGTAACATCTGTTGCCAATCTGTTTTTTTTCTTCTCCCAAAGCCCTCAGTACATAGTTGTAGGTTCTGGTTGTGGCATGTGGGATGCCACCTCAGCATGGCTTGATGAGCGGTGCCATATCTGCACCCAGGATCCAAACTGGCAAAACCCTGCGCCACCGAAGCTGGAGCGTGTGAACTTAACCACTCAGCCGTGGGGCCGGCCTCTAAATTTTAAAAAAATATTCATTTAAGTTTTTATTAATAGGCAGATATTGGTATTTTAATCTTTAATTTCTAAAGCTTTTCAGTACAGCTTTAATATTCCTAGGTATGATTCTGTTCTGTGCCAAGTGTTGGCATCTTCTGAATTTACCACAGAAGTAAAGTAGGTTCTGTTGCTCAAAGAGCAACAGATGAGATGAGCTTTTGTACTTGACAATAACCTTATCTGCAAAATAAGGTTTACACCTACTGTGGTAGTAGTAGGTCTAAACGGTGGTAGTTTCCTAGGGCTGCCATTACAAAGCACCACAAAGTGGGTGACTTTGAACACAGAAATTTATTGTCTCACAGTTTTGGAGCTCAGACATCCAAAATCAAGGTGTTGGCAGGGCCGTGCTCCCTCTGGAGGCACTAGGGAGGGATCTTCTAGCTTTTGCTAGTTCCTTGGCTTGTGGCAGCATAATCCGGTCTTTACGCAGCATTCTCCTGTGTGTCTGTCTGTGTCCTAAATTCTCCCTTTTATAGACACCAGTCAGATTAGATTAGGGGGCCCGCTCCGCTCCAGTATGACCTCATCTTAACTAATTACATCTGCAGTGACTTTCCAAATAAGGTCACATTTTGAGGTACTAGGAATTAGGACTTCAACATAGGAATTTGGAGAGAACACAATTCAACTCATAACATCTACTTACTCTTATACCTTGATTGTGTTATATGGAAATCATTCATGTACAACTGCTTGAAGGAGTAAAATCTTGTTTGCCACTTATATAAGGTCAAAATCCTAGAGACAGAAAGTAGAATGGTGGTTGCCAGGGGCTGCAGGGAGGGGAAATGGGTTATTGTTTAATGGGTGCAGAGTATCCATTTTGCAAGATGAAAAGAATTCTGGAGATGGATGGTGGTGATGGTTGCACAACAATATGATTGTACTTAATACCACTGAACTGAACACTTAAGGCTTGAGATGATAAATTTTATGTTATGTGTATTTTATACTACAATTTTAAAAAAATTGAAAAAAAGGTAAGTAAAAAACTCCAACTACCTAGGTGTATTTCAGCATTAAGAAAATGAATAAAAACTTATGGGGCAAAATGCCCTTTAGGTGATAGAATCTTTATCATAAGCCTTTGGAGTGGAGGCTTTGTTACTTGGATTTAAAACCTTAATTAATTCCAGGTAGACAGTAATAGAGACTTGACACTGGTATAGTACAACCATTGATAGCAATCTAAATACCCATCTCTAGGGAACTGATGTAAATAAATGTACGTGCTTCTGTACTTACAAGGTAACTGTAATTATTCTGATACAGAATGATCTCTAAGGTACCTTAAAGGGAAAAGCAAGGTGCAGAACCAGGTATATACTGTGCTTTCATTTGTTGGGAGGAAATTAATTTACTTATACAGGTGTTATATGCCATAGAATATCTCTAAAAGGATATTCACGAAACACTGTATACCCTATTTTACCCTTTCCTATCATGTGCATTTGTTACCTATTCAAGTAAATAATTAAAAGTTTTCCAAGAAAGGAAGCACTCAATAAGTATTTGATAAATGACTGAGAAGTTAACTTTCTGCCCAGGCGGTGACTTTACATTAGTATAGCCTATCATTGCTTGGGGCAGAAACTGTCCAACAAGTGCAGCACTTTTTTTTTAATAAGACGCTTAAAAACTTAATTTGAGTAACAATGCTGTCTATAGTATTTTATGAAATGTGTTCTGAATTTACTGTTTACATGGCAAAGTAAGAAAGGAGTATTTAACTCCCATGATATAGCATTCTTCCTGTCCTTACAGGAAGCAAAGTATGTTAGTTATTTATTGACGCATGACAGATTACCCAAAACTTAGTGGATTAATACAACAGTAAATTTTTATTATTTCTCACAGTTTATTTGGCTCAGGAGTTAGGGAGTAGCTAAGCTGGGGTTTCTGGCTTGGGGTCTTATAAGGTTGCAGTCAAGATATTGGCTGAGGTGGCAGTCACCTGATCTAATTCCGTAGTGGCTCATTCACATGGCTGGCAAATTCATGCTGATGGTGGAAAGCCTCAGTTCCTTCTGATGTCAGCCTCTTCCAGGGCTGCTTGAGTGTCCTCATACGGCAGCTGGCTTCTCCCAGAACAAGCCAGAAGCTACAGCCCCATCTGTGACCTTGCCTCAGAAGTCACTATCACTTCCTCCTCATTCTTTTGGTCACTATTTTGACACCAACTATTGTACTGGAATACACTTCTGATAGCATCCAGAGTTAATGCAGAACCCACAAGTCAAAAGGGGGCGGGGTCCCCAACAAGACTGCACTCACTTAAGATGCCGCTAGCTGCAGATTCAGGCCTTTCCACGACCCTGTCAGAACCACCTTTTGGTTTTGTTGATTTTTCTCTCGTTTTTCTATTCTCTATTTTATTTATCTCTGCTCTAATACTTCTTTTTTCTTTCCTTCTTGCTGGCTTTGAGTTTATTCTTTTTCTAGTTCCTTAAGGTGTAAAGGTAGGTTGTTGATTTGAGGTCTTCTTTTTTAATGTAAGCATTTGTAGCTCTTAGTTTCTCTCTTAGCACTGCTTTCACTGCATCCCATAAGTTTTGGTGTATTGTGTTTTTG